TTTTAGGTTCTGATACGAGATGTTAGCCCCTAGGTGGAGGGAATCGAGGGAACTCTAGAGTGAGAGCTGGTATCTTCCCTGCTTAGTCGGTCTTCAGAACTATTCAAAATTTAAATTAGCCAATATTTTTTATAGCATCTCTAGTAAGGGTAAAGAATAATATTGCTCCTATTTGACACAACACAATTTGAATAACTCCACAACAGAATTCCTATACTTCTACTGATTCATGATAAAGAGAAAGATATTTCATATTCAGTGTTTTTCTTTCGCATAAACTCAAGTTATATGTAGAAGTTGTTTCTATTTTGTTAAAATATCAAAAATATCAAAAATAATTGAATTTTAATTACTGTAAAAATATTTACTGTAAAAATATTTTACCTACTGTGAAAATATCTATAGTTAAAGTAATTGTCTTTTTAAAATAGAAAGTTTGTTGATTAATAGTGCATATTGTAACACTCCTTGTGGGTTCAATATTTGGGGCTTAATGAAAAAGTTCTATATTACTTGATAACGATACGTATACATGAGTAGTATCCCAATATATAATAAATATATATGTAAATTAAAAAGTTAATTTCTTATTTTCTCAGGATCAAGTTTTTGGTGATGTTGCAAAGTAGGAAAGATAAGTGAAGAATATAATTGCATAAGAATATAAAGTGAAGAATATAATTGCATACATTGTTATACTGTTGCATATAAACAGTCGGGATTAGCCTCCTAAAGGAAATTTTTTCGGGTAGGGATGAATCACCACAAAACCTAGCTACGTGCCCCAAACAAGTGCTAGAAGGTCCTGGGTGGGTTTCTTGAGCTATCAGATGCTACAGACAAACCGTAGACCATCTTGAGTCATGTAGGTGGACACTCTACACTTGTAAAATCAAAAATTTATGCCAACATGATGATAATCAAAGAAAGCATTCAAGAAGCTTATTGTTGAATGACTAATAGCTGAATCCACTAAAGCGTCAATCCTTGATAAGAGGTAATTGTAAAGTCCATGCACATCCTTCACTAGTTGTTCAATTTTTGTACCATGACCATAATGGAGACCTAGGTTGGGTATTGCTTCTCCTAGATGTTACTCTCCTCCTTGAGCTTCTATACTTCTTCTTAGATCAGTCAGACCAAAGTCATGGTCAATGTTCTCATCTTCTGGTTTATTAGTGGGGAAAATGGATTAATGTTGAGGCAATGACATGGTATGTTGATTTGAGATGTTTGACATTTCAGCATCCGACTGAGCAAAGGATGTTGACTCTACCTTTGATAGTTTGTATCAGCCTCTTTATTGCCATGAGGCAGTTGTATGTCTTTATGTTTGGATCGTGGGTCATCCTTCAACCTTCACCCACATTTTGTGAGCCCTCATTCTGCGAACGATGATCAGATTGATCACATTTTTTATAAGGAGGGTGAAAATACTTCTTTACTGTGATGTGGTTGTTGACTAACTCCAAGAGTTCAACTAGACTATTGGGTTGACCTAAACCTAAAAAAATACTTAAATTATTTGCTTAGCTTTTGTGTCAGGGTGGCCTGTGATGTTGTGGGCTCAAAATTCCATACTTCTAGTATTTCTTTTTGGAAGCGAGTGATATATGCTCGAAGACTCTCGTTCAGCCTCTATTTGACATGTCGCTGGTCTATGAATCATTGCGAGGTTGCTTTGTGAACAACTTCTTCAAGTCATCAATGGAGGTAATAACTCCTGTTGGGAGCCCATTAAACCACGTAAGGGTTGAATCCCTCACATGGTATAGAATAACCAACACTTCAATGCGTCAGAGATTTTGAGAAAGATACAAGCGACATAAAAGATGTTCAGTGGTTGGCTTGTTCGCTCCTACCATTGTAGGAATCTATGGGGATTCAGCATTAGAAATATTTTGGGAGAAAGCATTCTCCAACTGTCGGTATACATCTATTCATCCAAAATCATGGTCTGGCCCTCAGTGTTGACCCAACATTATCCAGGTACTAGGATCTTCAACTCTTTCTGCCCATAGAGTTGTTCAATGGCCTTGAGGTTCAGGTTCTCCTCAAGGGTTCGGTTTTTGAGGTTTGTGCTTTCCCTTGAATATTGTGTGTGTCAATTCTATTATTTGCCCCACAATTTCGTCTCAAAGTTCCTGAATTTGTTGCTACACAAATTCTCTTATAGACTCCATGTTTGAAGTTTCTCTCAAGTGAGTTCCTCTCTTGTTGCACGCTCCTCTTCTTGTTGATGGAATGATTTCACACTCAATGCACCTTTTTGGGATATTAAAACCAAAAATATCTTTTGGATCACACCCCAGATATAAACCTTTGGACGAATGAGAGGAATAAAGAGAAAAAAAGAGAAAAAATAAAGTGTGACATAACATAACAATCTAATATTTGATTAAAAGAAGAATAATTTTATTTTATTTTTCTTTTCTTTCTCTCTTCATGAGGCAAGAGGTTGTTGGAGCCTTCATTTAAGTACCATTATAAAAGGTTTCAAGTTTTAATAATATAAACACCAACATGCTTTTTAATTTAAATGATAAACTTCTAAAAATCTTTGTATGATTCTGAGTTTCGCGCGTACCTGCACATCACTGCGATTCTCCGTTCCTCACTCTAGCGGAAATCGTCTCGTTGTCAATTTCCCGCCGCGACAAATGCGTAATTTATCTGTTAGGCTGTTGGGTTCAGATGAAACGAACCCTAGCCTGAAGAAGACCAGTTCGCTTCGGCGCCCATTTATATACCGAAGCGGATTGCAGGAGGAGAATTCAGGTAGAGAAGCGGTGTGGAGCAATAGCTACAGGGAGGAGCAAGGCAAGGCACCAGACTTTGTTCTATTAGATGCCTACTCTTCATCTTTTCTTTCCTCATTGGTCTCATTGCATGAGGCATCGCTCAATTCCATCTTTTAATTGTGGTCTACTTCGGATTTTACACTCTTGTCCTTCTTCAATTGGCTTCGTGGATTGTTTGTTTCATTTTTATGGCGAGATCGATTGATTTGGATTGATGGCGGAGTGATTTCTCTTTGGCATTTATTATCTTGATGGAGAGTTTTTTTTTTAACCCCCATTTGTGTTGGTTTTCGATTTTCTTACATCAATTAGAAGAGGGGATTAAATCTAATCGATGAAATAATTCATTTTTGCGTGAAATGTTGAGATTTTAAAATGACGCGCTTTGTATTTCTGCGCTGACGTCGTTTTTTAATAATTGATAATTCTTCTTTTAGTTTTGAGAAGAGAATATGGATCGGTATAGGATGGTAGAGAAGCCAAGGGAGGAAACGCCTTGTAAAGAGAATGAAATCCGAATAACTGCTCAAGGAAGGATGTCTGGCTATATTTTTTATGCCACTAGCTTGCTTCAGGTATCTATTCCTTCTACATTAATCTAAGTTAACAGACTTTTATTTTTAATCTTTGCCATATGTAGCTTTTTTCCATATTATTAATGAGTAATTATAGGAGTTATTGTTTCCTTTTGGGATACTATTTATGATGTCCACTAAATTTTCGTATCACTTTGAAATTTGTGGGATTACCCAAGTCTGGACTTGGAAAACTTATTACGTGTGGATAGCACACATAGTGTTACGTGTAGACGCCAGTTCGAAAATATCACGTGTCAATTATTTTTTATTATAATTTGGTTATTAAGAATTCATAAGAAACGTCTTAAGTAACGGTGTTGCCAAGCCCGAGCCGTCATAGGGTATTGATGCGTCATTTTAACCTAGGAAATTAACGCGCTAGAAATTTGAGAAACAAAATCAAAAAAACTATACATCCTTTTAGGCTTAGGTTTGAAAGATTTTTTTGTTGTGAAACAACACGAAGAAGCTGTTGTTCCCGAAACGCAGGAAGAATCCATGACGATGGAGAACAAGCAAAGTTGTAACTTGAACAACTCTGAAGTTATATATGCATCTCTTTTTGGTGATGATTTTATAAACTTGAACTCATTAATAAGTTATTTTGTTTATTTTATTAACATGTAAACTTTATTTCTTTATTATTTTGAGTGATTTGATGCGTGTAATATTTAATATTTTAAGGAGACCATCTTGATTGGGTGCTGATGAAATGCACATATAAAACCATATTTTTACCCACTTAATTAGTTAAATTAGATGAAGTTTGCTATAGAAAACTTTGACCTTTATTTTGTATATTACTGCATATATTATTGAACATTTCCTTGAATACAACCTTGTCGTAATGTTTGTACTTTTACATTTAGAAGACATAAGCTAAAATAATTAGAAAGCAATGAAGATCAATTTAGTGTATATATTATTGATTGTTTTTTAAGTATTGACTTTTTCTTCTTAAATTTTGTTTGTGTCTGACATAAAAAAATCTAAATACAACCATGTTGTATGTTTGCTTTTCGTCGTGGCTAGGATTGACTTATTTATCCCCTGTACAATCATGTTGTTTTGGTTGTATTGCTTTATCGCAGTAGAAGCGATACAACATTGTTGTATTCAAGGGAATGCTGCAAAGTTGAGTCTGGTTAAAAGTCTAAATAAAAATAAAAAGAATTGTATATAGAAAGAGTGATTTTTAATTTTTATTTTTTCTCGTGGCTATGATTGGTTGATTTATCTCTCGTACAACTATGTTATGTTGATTGTATTGATTTATTTCAGTACAACCAATATAATGTGGTTGTACTGATTTATTCCGTAAGGAAAGACAGTACTGTTGAGTCTGGTTAAAAATTGAATAAAAAAAATTGTACATACAAAAAGTAAATTTTTAGTTTTTGTTTTTTCTTGTGGCTATGATTTGTTGATTTATCCCTTATACAAAATGTTGTGTTGGTTTTACTGATTTATCTCAGTATGACTGATACAACACGGTTGTACTGAAGAGAAAACAATGTTGAGTTTGGTTAAAAATCTGAATAAAATTGATACAACACGGTTGTACTGAAGAGAAGACAACAATGTTGAGTTTGGTTAAAAATCTGAATAAAATAAAAAAATTTTATATAAAAAGAATGTTTTTTAAATTTTTGTCTTTCCTTGTGCATAAGATCGACTGATTTATCGTTTGTACAACCATGTTGTATTGGTTGTATTGATTTATTTCAGTACAACTGATACAATACGGTTGTACTGAAGTTCGGTTGTACTGAAGGGAATGCTGCAATGTTGAGTCTGGTTAAAATTGAATAAAAAAATTTATATATGGAAAAAATGATTTTTTAATTGTACTTTTCCTCATGGCCCGAATTTGCTGGTTTATCCCTAGTACAACAATGTTGTATTGTTTGTATTGATTTTTCTCAGTACAACCGATACAATAAGGTTGTACTGAAGAGGAAGCAACAATATTGAGTTTGATTAAAAATCCGAATAAAAATAAAAATTAAATATAAAAAAAATGAATTTTTAATTTTTACTTTTCCTCATGTATATGATTGACTGATTTATCTCTTGTACAACTATATTGTATTGGATGTACTAATTTATCTCAGTACAATCGATACAACATGGTTGTACTAAAGTGAAGACGCCAATATTGAGTTTGGTTAAAATTTTGAATAAAAATTAAAAAAAAAAGCTTTTATAAAGAAAGAATGAATTTTTAACTTTTGTTTTTCCTCGTGGCTAGGATTGACTGATTTATCCCTTGTACAACCAGGGTGTATTGGTTATACTGAGTTTTCTCTTTTTGAATTTATAGGACCCTATATCAGAACTGGCAATTAATGACGCCAATCATAAGAAATATTAACAAATTACAGAAAATTTATTTGGCATGGTTGTTCACAATGAAAAGAAAGCTTATGATTTGTATTGTAATGCCGACTTTAGTGGATTCAGTGTAAGGAAAGATCATGCCAACTTTGTACATCATCATCCATTTCCCTAACCTTAGTTTAAGAGTGAAGACTGATTATTTCTTTGTTTAAATCCTTCTTTATTGGATTTGATTCAACGAGAGATGTGTTTATGCTTTTATTCACATCTAATGGATTTGACTATATGTTATGCTCTCTAGTTATTTGGTCTTCAATAAATCTTATTCTGGCCTGTACAACACTTATTCTCATGCTCTCGCAACTCAAGGCAATCTACATCTACCTAAGCTTATTATCTATTAAGGATTCAATTGTTATCGGCCTTTGCTCAGTAGACTTAATCAATTTATAATTTTCTATGTTAGAGGGAGTATGTCTATTGCCTTCTGTGGTCACCGGCGTAGATTCCAAAAGTGGAATTTCTTGAGTTCTTATGAAGGGAGAAGAGGTGGCTACTAGAGAGTAATGTACATTGGAAATGTCAGATAACAATGTTGACTCTTCCATGGTTATATTTTTGAAATAATCGTAAACTTGAAAAAATAAATGATTTTCTTTAGTCTATATCCACTTTTATAAAGATGAAACTAATGTACTTTATTACATTAGTTTTTACCTAACCAACTGACAGCTTTAAATAAAGAGCACTGCAGGTCTTATTTTTCATTGTCGCTAACTTCGACCACTGCATTATACAGGGTCTAGCCTGTGGTATTGTAGGAAAAAGAATATTGTTATGCTCAAAAATTCATTCCTGCAATATATGAAATATAGTACATTAGCATGTAAGCAATAATGATCATACCGATAAACATGATATCTTAAAAAATTCATACTATCAATAGTGTGACAACCACCTATGTAGCCAAGAGACTTTTTTGCAGTTTTGACTTCTCAAGTAGGCCGCCAAATTGGTCTACCAAAAACCTTCATATGGCCTCTGACCTGTTATACTTTTCAAAATCATGTATATCTTTAGAAAAAAAAAGAAGATTCTTAGGTACCTTATAGTTATTATATAGAAAAAAAAAAAGTATAAAAGAAAAAATTTAATAAATTTACTAGTACTTTTATTAAGATTAGGATTTTTATTTTTTTATTTTTTAAATTAATGGATGTGAACTAGGACAAAGGCTCCCTCATCCATGTAACTTCGGTTCTTCTGTTCGGCAACCCAATCATAAGAGTCACTTCATTGACAGTGAACTTTAGCTCGTGGTCACCAATAAAGATAACTCGCCTCTCAACATTCTAGCACTTAAGAATGTGCACAATAAGTGGTATGTTTTGTTGGATGGGTGGAACTATCAGTAAGTGATGAATACGTAGATTCCTTATTATAACAGCAACATCCTCAGGATTGTCCTGTGAAAATTCATCGTAGATTGCTTGAAATATCGAGGGCCACCACTTGAATGTAATTTATTTGTTGGCCATTCTATTGAAAGTTTACAAATATGCCGTTTTAAAAATAAAACAAAAATTATTAAGAATGCAAATGAAGATAATGTTACTATATAAGAACACAACAACAGAAAAAAAATTACATTGTACAACCAAGTACAACGTTTTTGTACCAAAAAAAATAAGAAACAAAAAAAATTTCATAATAAAACAAAAAAAAAACTCGATACTTAAGAAGAAAGAAATAGGCAAGTTAAAAAAATCATTGCTTCTATACAAAATCATTGTGTTTTCAATTAAAAAACTAGACAGAATAAAAATGAAATTCATTTTTCTCCATAACAAAAAAATAAAAGAAAAAATACATGATATAATCATGTACAACATTGTTGTACCGTTAAAAATAAGTTGGAGACTACAAATTTAAAAGATGCAACCGCTAAAATAAGGTTTTACATAATAGAAAAAAAGAAATATGGAAATAAAAATTAAGACTTCTGCACTAATAATTGCGTTTTCAATTCAAAACTCATTAAAAATATAAACAAAATTGAGGGATGAAGTTAATAAGAGTAAAACTTGACAGAAAAATAATAGGTACAATCTTGTACAACATGATTTTATCGAAGAATATACGAGCTGGACAAAAAAATCACATGTACAACTATGTAATAAATTGTTGTACAAAATATAAAAAAGAAACAAAATGAGAGTTAAATTTATTACTACCGTCTAATCATTACGTTTTCCATTAAGAAACTATACTTAATGAAAATGAAATTCATGTTTTTTCATAATAAAAAAATAGAATGAAAAAAAAATACATGGTACAACCATGTACAACATCATTGTACTGCTAAAAATAAGTTTTAGACTATAACCTTAAAAGGTACAACCACTAAAATATGGTTGTACATAAGAGAAAATAAGAAATTTGGAAATAGGTCGTCATAGGGATTCCCAGGACTCTAGGCTCCATGGTTTGCCTAAGGTCTCCTCCACTTGTAGGAATTTAGCTTGGGCTTCTACCAGTTTCAATCCTCATCATCTTAGCAAGTAGTTGAGGATTTGAGTTTAACCTTATGAAACTCTAAGTGAATGTAGAATTGTTTTGAAGTTCTATGTGGATGAGTTTCATCTTTAAGCATCTAT